AAAAAAGAACATGACTTTGTGAGTTGCATATTTTATAATTATTAATGAGAAATAAATTTATTAATATTAGGATTGTTTGCTTTCCATTATGCACAAAACAAATTGCAAAACTGTTATCTCTAACAATAATTTAGCAAATATGGTATGACAAGTTTTTATCATGCCAACCCAGGCATGAGTGACTTAAAGTAGCAGATAAACCAACTTCATTTGATGGGTTTTTAGGCATATTTTAGAAAGAAATGGTGTATATAAACTTCAAGACTTCAGAATTCAAAGAGTTGACTTATAAATTGCAATATGTGCTATTTGAAACTATATTGACCAATGACAACCCAGTTATGGTGGGTCTAGGGAGCACCTCATAAAAACGTAATAACCTTGGCTACCAAGTAAACCCAAAGCCAAACCCAAGCCTTGCACATGTATTGATATATTCCTCCCCCAATCGTGCCTTCCTGCACCCTTCCTACTCCTCAACTTCTCTCCCTTGTTTCACCCACAGGCCCCCCCCTCCCCCTCTAGTATAACTCCCCTGTACCTCCGCTCCTTACTCTGTTTTCTTTTTGAGTTCCTCTGTTTTCTCAAAATTCTCAAATTTCCCTTTCAAAAAATGGGTTCTCCGGCTTCTACGCCAGTAAATTTGAGGAGACAATCATTTCCTCGGAGAGGCCAGATCAAGTTAAAGATAATCAAGGGTCTTTTCAGATCAGCCGTGACAATTTGCAGCCATGGTCACTAAGAAAGGATGAAAGAGGAAAGAAACTAGAAGTGCTCTTAGCTCCAGCTGCACAACCCTAGCTGCCACTCCAAGTGGGTATAACTCTGATCGTTCTTGTACTCACTAAGTTCAGTCTTTTTGATGATTATGTATTCTGTAGGCTCTGTAAACTAATCGTGGGTACCGTTCTTGTTTTATTCATTAAATCTTTATTCGAGTTCCTTCTCCCTTCTAATCCTTTTAATGTATGGCATAGCATAAGGGAATTTAGAGATGTGATTTAGGTACGGGTTTTTTTTTTGTCATGCAGATTCTGTGCTGTTCTTAATCTCTAGAGATGTAAATTATATAAGTATTCAGTTTTAGTAAATTTTTTCCCTTCTTTTAATTCCATAGTTTGTTTTGTCTTTGCTTCTTCTTCTTCTTCTTCTTC